TTTTTTTTTAATGTTCCTTTCTTTCTGTTGACCTATGTATTTCTCCTTCAGTATTTTAAAGTTAGGCATTTGTGATTTCATGTTTTTTTTTTTTTTTTAAGATTTCCTTATTACATATACAACATTCTGTCTGTATGTACAACCTCACACCAGAAGAGAGCATCACATTTCATTATAGATGGTTATGAGCCACCATGTGGGTGCTGGGAATTGAACTCAGGACCTCTGGAAGAGCAGACCGTGCTCTTACCTTCTTAGCCATCTCTCCAGCCTGATATCATGTTTTTTTAAGTGGCGCTTTATTTTGTCTTTACATTTCTTTGGTAGTGTGGCTAGGTATGGAAGTTTTAGGATGGAAACAGTTATTCTTAAGAAAAAAGCATTATGGCCAGGTGGTGTTAGTGCATGCCTTAATCCCAGACAGAGGGAAGGGATCTCTGTGAGTTCAAGGCCAGCCTGGTCTACATGGGAAAACCTCGTCTTGGGAAGGGGTGGGACAGGGGGAGAAACAATGTTGTTTCTTCTCCTCTTTTGCTCTTTAGTTTTCAGGGCTGCTTCTCTTATTATTGATCTTTCCTAGTTCTTTTGTCTAATTCTCTCTCTCTCTCTGGAATTTCTGAACTAACATTATTTTCTTGAATATTTCTAATCTGCTAGAATCTATTTAATTTCCAGTAATTCCTTTTTGTTCATTGTTCATTGAATCTGTTATTTTGTCATGATACAGTACTAGGACTGTAATTATTAACCTTCACTTCTTGGAAAAAAAAATTCTCATTTGCTGAGTCCCATCCCTAAACAGTTAAATGGTGTTGAGAACCAGGTATCAGTATTTTTATTTATTGTGTTGTTTAAAATAATCTTCCTTTGTTCTTTAGAAATTCTGTATCTTGGCCACATTCACCGCTACTACTTCCCTCCATGGTGCCCCGCTCCGTCTTTCTCTTCTGCTTTTAGATTTTGTGCTGTTAGTGACTCTGAGTTCATTTGGTGCGGCCGCATGTACAGGGGTGTGCAGTTAACTCCTGAGGTACGACCTACATGCCACAAGCCTCATCTCCACAGGAGAGTAAATCTTGTGCCTTCGGCAGCCATCAGCTGCCAGCCGGGCCTCTGGCAGGGGCGGGCCCTCATGGTCTCACCCATAGTCCATGTGAGGATCTGGATTGGCCTGACCTTGTACACGTCTTCTGCAAGTAACCACAGCTGTCATGAGTTGATGCATTCAGCGAGCCCGCCGTGTCCGTGTCCTCCATGTCTGCCAGCTCTTGTATTATTTCTGCCCTTTCTTCTTCCCTGAGCCTTGGACGGTGGGAGGTTGAAACACATGAGCCATCCACAGTTGAGCACTCAATGTCTGTATTCAGGGCTTTGCTCAGTTTCGAGTCTCTGCATTAACCACCACTCGCTTACCTGACCAAGTTGAGAGTAGCACAAAACATTAGTAGAAACATAAACATTTAGAGTAACAGTTTCACAGTATGACTGTTTAGCAGAACAGTGAGGATAGGTTCCCCCATGGCCCGTGATCCCCCGTTAGAGGCTTTGACAAGGTATACAGTAAGAGGCATGAAATGCCTTCTGTGAAGCAGGCCTCAGGTTCATACAGCCGTTGGTTGACCCCTAACCGTTAGCGCATCTCTCTAGCAGGTTGGTGTTAGCATGCAGGGGCCAGTGTTGGGTAAGGCTATTGATGACTCTTCTCTCCTCAGCAGCTTCTGGCACAGTGTAAGGCAGCCAGCAAGGAGAGAGTTTCCAGGTCAGTTTGAGGTTGATCTTTCTCTGTCCTGCATCCACAGTGAGTGGTGTCTTCAGCAGTTGGGTCTCACCCTCTAGTGACTGTGGGCAAACAAGAGCGGTGGCCACAGCCTGTGATATTTGGGTGCCTCTGGGCCTCTCTGACTCCTAGGGAGGTATCCTGAGTCATCAGTTAAAAACGTTTTCTGTGAACAACTGGATAAAGAACTGTTTTATATAAGGCACAAGGAATAGGCAGGGGAGTAGCAGGTGCTGAGGAGTGTGCCTTCACTCATCTCCCACTAGAGACTCTCCTTTACTCCTGTAGAGGAAAAGTTTCATTCAGTTCTATTCAAGTGCGGAGATAGTCTTTTACTGGTCTGGGGCTGGGGGGGGACCCTGGGATATAACTGCCTCCTGATCAGTTATGTCTCTATTAGTCCTCAGCCTCTTTCTAATGTTTTTGTGGCCAAAAACATATCAAAAAATTGGGAATGAACCAATATAACTTCTGCCTTAAATAGTGATACCTTTTCTGTTTGTTAACCTCACATTTCAAACGTCTCCTGGTAAACCAGGTATATTTCTAACATTTTTGAAATCTCCAAAGTTCGTAGAATTTCTGCATACTATACAAGTAACTTCTCCTTGAGCTTCCTGAGAGAGAGCTGTCAGCAGGCTCCCTCACCCCAACTCCTATTTTAGTAAGTGCTTTCCCCTTGCCTAGGACGAGATCTCTGGTGTAATCATGGTACAGACATCAAAAAGGAGACTCGATCCTTGCTCTATTGCTACCATTTAATCCCCAAATGCAGTCACATTTAAAAAGTCTCCCAGTAATCTTCTTTACAGCAGAAGTTTGCAGTTAGTTGTCATGTCTCCCCAGTTGGCAGTAGTTGGTTCTTCAGAGTTAATATGACCTTTTGACCTTGAAGGTTTTGAAAATTACAATCTAGTTATTTAGCTGGGTTTTACTCATCTGGCAAGAACATTGTATGTAAATACTGCGTTCTCAAGCCATCCTCTGAAGTGGCGCACAGTTCTATCTGCCCCAATTTTCCAGTGTGAGATGCTCTTATAACCTGTGGGGAGTAAGTATTTTGTTGGGGGAGTACTTTGGAATTGTGGGTATTCTGTTCCTTGCACAGTAGAATTTTAATTCATGACAATTTTTAGCTGTGTTTCTATGTGCTTTTATTTTATTCAATATGTCATAATCTACTATTGTTACTGTTTGTTTCTGGGTCTGAAATTGGCTCCCATTTGTCACACTCGGTCATCCTTCTGACCCTGTGTAGGACCCAGCAGCCTGCACGAAGCTGTTCTCCAAGTGGACACCAGCTTTGCTGTCCTCAAACACCTGGCATTCCATGTCCCAGTAATTGTCTTGTTTGCTCAGTCCTTCCTAATGCTGCACTGTTTTCAGAACAGACAAGAATCAAATGCTGTTTTCTGTGCTGACACACGGGCTTGTGCAGGGTGAGAGGCTCTTGAGCATGGAGACTTTAGACTGCATCTTTAGTTGTTTAAAATCAAGAGCCACATATTGGAATTTGAGTGATTATTTTTGTGTGTAGCTCAGTGCTTCGTAAATCGTTTTTTTTTTTATTCGGTTGACTGTGCATTTATAAAAATTAGCTTTTCGCATATTATGTTTTGGTTTTGGTTCACTATGAAGATGATATATTTTCTAGCATTTCATTGTGTCATATAGTGTAGTTTTTCTGTTTATTAACTGTAGTAATTAAAATAACTTTCTTATAGTTAACACTTTGGGGGAATGGGACATGAAATACTCTATTCTTTAAGAGGGCCTTCCTGTGTAACACAGGCTGTCACCGAGCTTGTGCGACCCCTGCTGCAGCCTCCCAAGTGCCAGGGTTTTATCTTATTATATATGAGTCTTAATAATATCATGTTTCCCACTCCATTCTTCCCTTACTCTCTGCCCTCATCTCTTGCTCACATGTTCAGTGTCAGTGATCACATAATTGTGACTGTGTACATTTCCCCTTCACTGATGAAGCCTATTCATAAAAACCTGCAGTCTTTTCATTCCTCGGTCTCCAGGGCCTAAGTGATGCCTGTCAAGTAGATGTTTAATTTATGGGTTGGACACTTTTGTTTGTAGTATGTAACATGCAGCAAAAAAGCATTATAATACTAAATAATTCTTCATTCTTTTAGAAACTGGATAAGAAATCATCTCCATCAACAGGAAGCCTAGACTCTGGAAATGAATCAAAAGAGAAACTGTTGAAAGGAGAAAGCGCGCTGCAGCGTGTCCAGTGTATTCCCGGCAACACCAGCTGCTGTGACTGTGGCCTGGCAGACCCACGGTGGGCCAGCATCAACTTGGGCATTACCTTGTGTATTGAGTGCTCTGGGATCCATCGGTGGGTATGCTCACCCGGAGTGAGTGAGGGGCTTCCTTTGGGTTAAATGCGTGTTGCAAATTATCCTGGTTTCTTTCTTTCCCTTTTTTTTTTTTTTTTTTTTTTGGCCAATGAGTCTTTTCCCCAGTTCCTTGATTTAATTACCGGTTTATATTATAAAGTGGATAATTTTTTTTTGTAAAGCATTTTTTGAAGACTTTGGTTCATCAGTGGTAACCAGAGAATCCACCCATATTTATTTATGGGAGCCATTTCTGTGTGTGTATATAAATATGCAAATAGTAACTTGATAATTTTGTATTAAGAATAATGTGATCTTTTATCCCCCCCCCGTGTAGGAGTCTTGGGGTTCATTTTTCGAAAGTACGATCCTTAACTTTAGACACATGGGAGCCTGAGCTTCTAAAGGTGAGATAAATATTTGTATGAAAATTTTAACAGGTGCTTGTAGGTCTCGTCTAGCTGAGATGAGTTGGCGCTGTGGGGAGGTGAAGACTGAGGTGGAGAAGTAGGTGGACCAAGAGGAAGAAAGTCGAAAGTTTGGCAGCATTTGACAAGGAGCTAGTTGTCTGGTGACAGAGCTAGTTCAGAAGTGATTTCAGTAAACTCTGTGTTGCATGAGTTTTAATGTTTTTATAAAGTGGGAGTGAGGATGTCGACATTTAAAAATATGCCCAATTTAAATTCACTGTCCTTGAATTGTCCAGTACTTGCTGTACCTAACTGCATGTGCTGCTTTATTGTCAAAATTTTTGCCCAGCCACGGACACAGGCACAGTCAGTAGTCGTGCTGTGTAGACAGATAGTCATGTGGTAACTATGGCCTTCATTGAGAGGTTTGTTGTTATTATTTTAATTACATGTCCGTGTTGGAGCCTGTGTGTGAATGTGTACACTGAGCATGGGTGCCTGCAGAGGCCAGAGGGATCAGGTCCTTTGCAGCTGGTGTGAGTGGGTCTTTTTAAGCACTGAGCCGTCTGCCTAGTCCTGACATTTGTTGTTGTTTTGTTTTTGGTTTTTGAGACAGGTTTTCTCTGTGTAACAGATCCCTGGCTGTCCTGGACTCACTCTGTAAGCAGGCTGGCCTTTAGCTCATTGAGTGCCACGGCTCTCTGTCCTGAGTGCTGGGATTAAAAGCACTCCTGGCTCAGTCCCGATTTTTTTTTTTTTAATTTATTTGTTCTGCATGCATGTATACCTGCACGCCAGAAGAGGGCGCCAGATCTCATTACAGATGGTTGTGAGCCACCATGTGGTTGCTGGGAACTGAACTCAGGACCGCTGAAAGAGCAGCCAGTGCTCTTAACCTCTGAGCCATCTCTCCAGCCCAGTCCTGATTCTTAATACAGATCTATATCTAGAAAATCTGGATGGATGGATGGATGGATGGATGGATGGATGGATGGATGGATGG